ATTGGGTTTCTGGCTCGAGCAGCCGAACAGAATTGAAAAACGTGAAGGTGAGAAATGTGAATAAACTTTACTCCGTCAACACCCCCCCCCCCCCCCGCTGATCCCACTCCCAGCTGAGCCTCGTCTTGCTTTGCTTCTTCGGAAGGCGAAGTCAGCGCCGGCTCCATCTGTACATTCAAAAGAAGTGGATCGGTCCCAGGGATTTGGGACCTCCGCTCTCTTTTCCCTTCTGACTTTTCCCAAGTTTTTTTTCCCCCCAAATGTTCTGCCCTTCTCAAAGGACGGGGTTGGGTGAAGCCGGTACGCTTTGCGCGATCAGTGAGTTCCGTAATCCGCCTCTGCTTGAGTCAACGTCCAGGATTTGATGAGACATTTTTTCCCCACCGAGTTCAAAAGCGGCTAATAAGACCGGGCTCGAGAGACCAAGGAATCCACGCCGTTTTTCCCATAGGACGGGGAGGGGAGAGGAGGGGAGGGGGGCTTTTCCCATGGTGATGCAGAAGCAGGAGGGTATCTTCAATCAGCCCCCAAGAGAGAGGCTGACGTCTCTTCCGGCGAAGGAGAACAGCTGCTGGTCTCTTATCGCTCCCGCCCCTTCCCAATTCCGACTCCCTCGTCCTTCTCAGCTGCCCTGGATCGGAGCAAGTGAACTCATTTTGCGTCAAAGAAACCCTTAGGAGCAGAAAGGGAGGGTTGGGGCTGCCGCTCTACATCTCTGCTCCTTTCCAGTTTCGCAAAGACCTGTTGTGTGTTCCCGGGACACTCTGGATCTGTGGCGTTTCAATCTAAGGGGGATATTGGGCTTCCAAGTGGTTGGAGGGCTTCGCTCATACATTCACTACGCAGTTCTTGCAAACCCGTACAGGACACGAGCTGCTGTTGTCTTTAACCACAGGTGGGAAATGGGGTTGCGAGCGAAGGGCTTGCCGGTGGGCCACCTAAACATTCATTTCAGGGGTGACCCTGGATCTTAGAGCTCCCAGAATGACATTTGGTGTCTAGAACGCAACCTAATGGCAACTCGCTGTCCCACCAAATTCAGCCTAAGTATTTGTAGCGCCGTTTCTGCTAGCTAACACAACACCTTTAGCACTCAAGCTATATTTTGGTTTTGTGGAGGTTTGGAGCCTTAAAACTAAAGAGATTCCCGTTTGTTCGGGTCTCCTTTGTCTGCCTTTTATTGTTCCTGGACAAGCAACTTAGTAACTTCGGATTAATCGGACTCCACAGCTTAATTAATTTCAGCGATTCGGTCTCGTACGGGAGCTCTTCTGCCGATTTCAATGGCAAAAGCCGTTTCCTTATCTTCTGCCTGTCTGCTTGGTGGGATTTAGGTACTGCAGGCAACAGTTAAGATTGGACTATATATAATAAGCCTTTCTTTCCTAGGACAGAGAGGCTCTCTTTCTCTCTCCCCTGTCCCAAAACGGTCCTCACAGAATGGGAGATAAATCTTACGGACTTCCATCTTCTGTGCGGTGCAGTCTGGAAGTGCAGCCGAGATGAAGCCGGCGGGAAAAGCTTCGTCTCTGGATAAACGCTCTTCGTTCCTTCGTGCCTGTTTGTTTGCTGCGATTTGGAAGCAGTTACGGCCGTAAGAGATGTAACCGCTTGGGTTCGAGAGCCCCTTTTTCTTGATAAAACGACTCGACCACCAGGCTCCCAAAGCCAAGTTACAGGCAAGGAAAGTGGAGGCAACACCTCCTTTAAAAACGACCTCCAGCAGCCGGAGAAAGAAACGCGGATGATATGCAGCGTATCAAAGAGTGAAATTCTTAGAACAACCCAAAAGGCTCCGGGGTGGAAGACGTGCCCCCGCGGGAACCGAGGAGTTTCCCTTTTTCCCCCCCCAAATCACGACTTTTCAGAGTGCTAGAAAAAGTATTTCCAACAAGATCTAAACTTTTTTCTTAAGCAAAAAAAAAAAAAGGTTGTACTCAATTTCGGAGCGAAAAAGCCGTTCTTGACACGAATGGAGGTGTCAGCGAAGCCTTTTGCTCTTCAAAAGAAAGTTCCGTTCACTTATCACACAAACCCTTGGACCCGG